CACACACACACACACACACACACACACACACACACACACACATACACACACACACACACACAAACACACACAAACGCGCGCTCACACGCACACACCCACGCGCATGCCCCCCCACACACACACACACAATCAGTTTTATGTATGTCAGTCTTTCTTCTGTTGTATGTCCTCCCCTTGATTTTTTCTCTGTCTTTTTGTATGCCCAACTGAGCACCCTTAAGTAGTGCTAAACAGTCGGTGGTTCCTCATTTGGAGTGCCTACTGCACTCTTATGGGGGCTGCTCGGTTTGGGATGTCCGAATTGCCTGTCGATGATGGCAGATGTTCGTCGGAGTGACTCCCTGGCTCAGTGGGTGGTGGGAACCAATAGTCTTCGGGGTTCGACCGTGATGTGAGTAGGTCATGTGCTGCTTTGCTCCGTGTTGGATGTGTGGACGTCCTCTTCTGCACTCCGCTGCTGCCTTGCTGCCTGTCCCGCTTGCTTCGCGTGTGGCTCTCTACGAATTGTTGTGTTCGCTGCGTGGTGTGGTCATGTTGTTGGTGTTGCCTTGCGCTTCGCTGCTTTGCTGTCGTGCTGCTTATCCGCTGACCGTGCCTTCCGTGTGTGCTGCTTGTGTGCCCTGTAGGTTGGTTGCCTTGGTGTTGGTGCCTTGTGCTCCGCTCCACTGTTACCGAGCTACTGGTCCACTCACCCTGTCGTCCCTTGTAATGTGGCTGCCCTGCATGTGGTGCCTTGTCCTTCACTACATGGTTGTCGCGCTGCATGTCCTGCGTGCCATGTCGTTCTTTGCAGTCGTTTTTGGCGTTGTGCAGCTGTGTTGCCTTGCCTGGTGCTCCACAGGGTTGCTGCCCGCTGCTATGTTCCGCTTGGGGACGGTCTGCCTTCAACAAGTGTCAAAGGGTTCATGACCTAAACCATCAAATACGAAGATTCCACAGATTGTCGAGGATTCAACCTCTTCATGAGTTGGTGCAACTCCAACGAAACAATCTATCATCATCAGTTTTTATTTATTTTTTTTCGGTTTTTGTTTCTTGCCTTGTGCTGTTTGTTTGCCCACCCTCCTCCCCTCTACCCTCCAGCCTGTCCTCTGCTGTTAACTATTCTTCTGGCCACTTTGCCGTTTTTCGATACTTGTACTTATGCCCTCCCACCTCCCCCATATGTTTCAGCCTGTGTGCTGCCTCACGGCTTGTTCCTCCTCTCATGCCTCTAAGTTCATGTGCCTCCCCAATGCGTTTCAACCTATGTGCTGCCTCGTTGTTTGTTCCCCCTCTCGTGCCTCTTAAGTTCATGTGTCGTGTTGTGGTTTGGTATGCTATGGTGTTGGTTCCCTGCCCTTTGCCTCGTTGTTATTTGCCTTCCCCTCGTCCCTCCGTTTGTTTGTGGAGTGTTATTGCATGTGTTCTGGTCTGTCTGAAAAAGAGGAGGCACCACCCACCCCCTTACGTTGTTTTACTGCTTTCGCATATTTGGCTGCTTTCAACTTTACGGCCCTTTAAACACGTACCCTCACCCCTCACCACAAATGGACACATGAATGGTTTTACCCCACCGCGTTGAAAAATCGCCCCCCGCGCTTTGCACCCTGCCCATAGTGTGCCGACGTGTCTGGTCGGAGCAACACGGGTATGACGTGTCGTACTCGTGCGAAACTCATGTGACACATACATGCTACACATACACACACACACACACACACACACACACATGCACACATACACACACGCACACACACACACACAGACACACACACACACACACACAATCAATTTTATAAAAGTTTGTTTGTCTCTGTTTCCGGTATGTTTGTCTTTCTTCTCTTTCCTATGTTTTTTCTAAGTACGTTTGTCTCTAGCCGAGCACCCCCTAGCAGTGCTAAACAGTCGGTGGTTCCTCGTTTGGAGTGCAAACTGCACTCTTAGGGGGGCCGCTCGGTTCGGGGCGTCTGTGTTGCCTGTCGGTGATGACGGATGTTCGACGGAGTGACTCCCTGGCTCATTGGGTGGTGGGAACCAATAGTCTGCGGTGTTCACCCATGATGTGAGTAGGTCATGTGCTGCTTTGCTTCGTGTTGGATGTGTGGGCTGCCCTGTGCTGTCTGCGCGTCACCGTTGCCTCGCTGCCTATCCCGCTTGGGGCACGTGCTGTTCGTTGTGTGCTGTTACGTTCGCTGTGCAGTCTGGTTGTGGTAGTCGTGTTGCCTTGTGCTTCGCCGCGCTGCTTCCAAGCTGTCCATCCATGTGTCGTGCCTTTTGGGTTCCTTGCTTGTGTGTCGTGTAGTGTGGTGATCGTGTGGTTGTTGCCTTGTGCTTCATTACACGGGCGTTGTGTTGTGCCTCCACTTGCGGTGTTGTTCCTTGCAACCGTCTATGTCGTTTTGCAGTTGAGTGAGTTCTGGTGCGTTGCCTGGTGCTTCGCAGGGTTGTGTCTTGCTGCCGTCCGCCGTTTGACGTGTTGTTCCTTGCAGTCGTCTTCGGTGTTCTTCGGTTGCGTGGCTTCGGGTGTGTTGCCTGGTGCTTCACACGGGTGTCGCTCGCTGCTATGTTCCGCTTGTGGGCAATCTGCCTTCAACAAGGGTCAAAGGGTTCATGACCCAAAACATCCAAAACTGGTACTCCGCAGATTGTCGAGGGTTCAACCTCCTGGTGAGTC